GGAACAGCTATGGTCAAGCTGGGTTCAACCAACTCCAGAAGCAGAGCATTCCACTAAAGTCTATGATAGAAGGAAGAGGAGAGCTAGCAAGTCTCCACAAACCTCAGGATCATCCCGCGACTCCTACCATTGAACCAAGTACCACATCCCTTCCATTGTTCTATACCATTGCATCTTTTTATTTTTGTAATATAGTTTGTTGCTTCTCTCTTCCATTGCTTTCATTACACAAGAGACTGTGTAATTTAAGTGTGGGGGAGAGATTTGGGGTTTGACTTTGTTTTCTGTTTTCTTAGTTTTTCCTTTTTTCTTTTCTCTTTGAGTCTCATGCATATCATGCATACATGTAAGGCATAGAAAAACACAAAAAAATTTAAAATTTTAAAATTTTTTTGCAATTTTGCAAACCAAAAAGAAAGCATGTAGTTGCATTCCATTCTTCTAGGATTGAGTCTAGTGTTGACATTTAGGTTGCATTGCATTTGCATAGGGCATTATGATGAGTTTTCCTTGTAAAGTGCTTAGTGTTTAGAGATGATTTCAGTTTTTAAGTGCTTAGTTGTTTGATGCATCATATGATTGCTAGAAGTTAAGGCTGAACCATGCTTAGATTGCTAGATTTGGTCTTCTCATCTCATTCTGAAAGCATTTGTTCTCTGAAAATCAACTCTATCAACTTGAACTTTAACTTGGACTTTAATTATCATGTCTTATGCATTGAAAAGTGATTGCATGGCTACCATGTACATATTTAGATCAACTTTCTCCTTTCTATCACTCTTGTTGATCCAAATAGCTGATCCTCATAATCATGAGACAGTTACATCCTCACCCTTAACCAAAACCTCATTTTGAGCTTTAACACTATTGTGAGAGCTGTGAGGCCTTTGCATTGCATTTTCGATTTTGTCTTGGCAAAAAGTGTTAGGAATAAGGCTGGCAATGACTAGCTCTCTTGTAGATATCAGCTTGCATCTTGAGCTTGATTCTAGGATAGGAGTTTTGGATTTAAAAAGGGTAGAGTAAGTGGTTTGAACTTCATGTTTTTATGATTTGAAAGAAAAGGAAAAGATTTGAAATGGTAGAAAAGGGGAAACAGTTTAGTATTGTGGTTAAGTAAAGGGAATAAAACTCTAAGTTTAAAAAGAAGGTTTGGCGCCAACAACAATGCTCATAAAGGTCCAAAAGAAGAAAAATCTGTCCAAGAAGCAATCCACCAAAGGTGATGAAGGTGCCAACACAACAAAGAAGAGCAAGTCCCAACCAAAAAGAAGCAGCCACACAAGCAAAAGAAGAAGTTTCCCCAGCCATGAAGATGGGTAAAGGGTAGAATTTAGGGAAAGGTAGACTTAGAGGGTTCACTCTTGGGTTTAAAAATGCTTAGGACTCATCTTTGGGAAGTAAGGGTAGAAGAGAGTTTTGAATTGCATGCATAAGTGTGCTTTTACCTTTAGCATTTTGCCTAAGATGAAGTCATTTCATTGAGTGATCCTTTATGTTTTTGAACCCTTGTGCTTAAATGAGATCATTCTTATCTCATAACCTTACCCTTTTTTAACCAAATGTCTTCACTTGATTTGCATAAGCATGATTCATGTTCTGAACTTAATTGAATGTTAAAGAGTTGATTGATTTGAGCATCTGCCTAAGTTGAGATTTGAGATCATTTTGAAATATGATGAGCATGGCTAGGATCTTTAAAGTATAGCTGATTATGTTTGCATCCTACAACTAGGCACTTGAGCATTGAAACCATCTCTTTACCTTTGCACTTTTGGAATCTGAATGCCCATTTTCAAACCTCACTCTCCCATTTGTTCTTGATTGCTTGAGGACAAGCAAAAGACAAGTGTGGGGGTGTTGATATCCACTGTATTTACACCACTTAGGGCTGCATTTAGTACATATTTTGATCCTCTTTTGCATGTTTTTCCTTTGTTTCTGTCCTATTTTCTTCTCCTTTTAGACTTAGGTTGCATTTAGAGTATAGTTTGCATTTTGGATGTTTTTAGGTGCTTTTGGAGCTTAAAGGAGCTTGGAGAAGTTTTGGGAATGATACAAGATGCTAGCTGGGCAAAAGGGAGCAAGAAGGATCACAGCAGAAGATCTCTGCAGAAGTTTTCGGTCAGAGCACAGAGAGTTTCAGTCAAGAGTGACCGATACAGAGCATATCGGTCACCAGTATCGGTCAAGTGTGATCGACACAAACACATCGGATTAATTTCGGTCATGTGTCGATCACTGAAGACCAATAGGGACCCATTTCGGTCACTGGAGATCGACACGACTGACCGATACTGACCCAACATGAACCTGTTTTTAATTACAACTATGCCATTACTCTAGGGTTTTCCTTTCTAGATTATAAATAACCTTTTTCCAGATTTTCGAGAAGTCATGTCATTTTACTGTTCTTAAGCATTTCTTTTAAGTTTGTAAGACAATTTCTTTGCTTTGTTTAATATAATCAAGTATTTGCTTTAATCTTTTTTTAATCTTTCTTTTAATCATGATTATCATCCTTTTCCTTTGTGATTTGGTGTTAAACATGATTATGAGTGAGTAGTTATCTTAGGGTTTCTAGATGTGGTAGATTAGGGGAATCTAAGGTTTGATTAAGGCTTGTTATGTTTTTTATTTTATGGGTTCCTCTCTATTAATCTGTTTTTCATGCTAGATTAGTCTTGATCAAACTTGTCTAAGTTGTTAGCTTTCTCTTATGCCCACTAAGCATTTGATGAAATACTGATCATGTTTAATAGAGGATTTGCTGGCCTTGGCTCAAGAGATTGACTGTTTGAGGAGCATTTTGACTTGAATAGAGTTGTTTAATCATGCTTGCTTGATGTTTTAGCACTAATGAGAGTTAGTTCTTGTTAGAATGTTTAGCAAAGGGTTATTTGTCAAGAGATTGGATCTAACTAGCTTAAGTGTGAACTCTATGTCTAGGAATCATCATTGCTTGCTTGATCAATGTAGTTTGAAACAGCCTTAGTTGATGCCTGAAATTCCCCAAAGTCAATAACCACATCTAGAGACTTGCCTTTCTCTTATTTGAATTTCAGATTTGCTCTGTTTTGCTCTGTTTTACTCTGTTTTCCCTGTTTAGAATTGCTTAGTTTGCTTCTGCTTTTACTTTGGTTGCTGCTTGCTTCACTTAGGCTGCTAGAACTGTTACTTAGGCAACAAAACCAATTCTCTATCTGCTTAACTTAGAGACTTTACTCTCAACTCTTCTATTTTCAACTCTTCCCAATGGATTGACATAAAACCCTTACTACAACTGACTAATGCAAGGGTGATTGAGCATAAGACACCAGTTAGTCTTGTATCACAAATGTTATATAGTAAACTATGATTGTATTGTTGTTACAAGCTTATAAATGTTGTTGAGCTCATCTTTTAAATTCATTGATGATATAAAATTCAGAATCCACCTCCTTTTATAACTTAGAGTTTCAAGACTTGCAGCTTGATGGATGATGAGTGAAGATAGAGATGAGGGTGAAAAGTTGCTGTTTGATTCCATAAGCAGCACTGAACGAGATGGATTGAAGTCACCCTATATATTGTGAGGGGATCTCTGATACTGAATAAACTCGAACTTAGGTAATCAAACACTAAGAATATAGCAGATTTTCTTAACAAGAACACAGCTTGTAGAAGAAGAGAATACAATGCTTTATTAATATCAAAAAAGTTAAAAATTTACAATGCTGCAGGAAAACTTTATAAAAGAATTCTTTAGCTCGTGAAAAAAATGAAAGTTTGCTAAAAATAGAAAGAAAACTATCTAAACAATTTAAGCACTTGGGCTTGAACCATGGCTTCTTGAAGATCTAAATAACACTAGGATACTCGGATTTACTTGCACACATTCATAATAAATAAAACTTAGCTTGTTTGGTTCGGATAGATTGGTTTTGAAGCTGGAGTGTTCAAGGCAAGTATTGGTCCGTCCAGCTTGGATTCTTTGCTGAAATATTCCTCTTGAGTTCTTTTGAAGTCAAAATGGTTGAGATGTTCAAGTGTTTCCCGTAGTTAACTTCAGATTCCTCTTCTTGCTCTGTTTGTTCTATATCAGCTTCATAGTTTGTTTTTGAGATATCTTGAGGCTCCAATGTGATTTCGGAGAGATTTTTGATATATTGAACTCTTTTATCTACCTAGTAAACAGTCTTATCTTGGTTAGTTCGAGGTTGAGCTTTCTTGATGCTCAAAATTTTGCAAACTTCATCTTTAAGTTTAATTGAGGTGCATAAGAATATGTTATGGTGGTTCCTTTGGTCTTGGCCTCTTGGGTACTTGACGTTGATGGTTGTTTGGTTTGCTGTCTAGATCAATTGATATGATATTTTTAAATAAAGTTTACAATCTTAAAAATATTTTTATTATATTTTTTAATAAATATTAAAAAATCTGAACCAAAAACTCTTAATAAATTATTGATTTATTGATTAATTAATAACTATACAATTTAATAAAATTTTAAAATTTCAACATTATTAAAATAATAATTTATAAAAGAAAATTTGTACTAGTATAATTTTTTATAGATTGGATGGATCTGTAATTAAATCTAATCCAACACATGTAACATCACTAATACAAACCACAAAACTCAACTAGTACAAATCACAAAACTTCAAAATATAGATTCTAAATAACATTTTTAGATTGTCATATATATAGAAATTTTTTGCTCTTAGTTGTTATGCATCATCTAAACGAGACATAAACTTCCAAACTAAGGGGAAAATTTCAACTCCCTATTTTCTCTTTTTCCCCTCAAATAGTAAAAGAAACAAAGATCTAAGGAACAAAAATAGATGAAGCAAATAACACCACAAGACTAAAGGAGACACTACAGCTTTAACAAATATATACATTACAGGCTAAGACAGAGTTTTGATGACAATGTTTTCGACTTAAAGACAACAACAAAGCAAATAAGCTAAAAAATATGGCCTCTCTTTTTTTTTCTCTCTTTCTCTCTACCTTCACCCAATGCTGCTACTAGGCATAACCCAGCCGGCTTCACGACCGACAACCACACTATCCCCGTTTCCAAACACTCCCCTATGCCTCTTCTTCATCAACGCAGCTGAAACCGGGCTTCCCACTGTGCTTGAAGTCAGAGAGCTCTCTGCTGAACAGTTGTTCTTTCTCTCTATCGCTACAGCAAGCTCAGACAAGGACGGAATAGTCATTTTGGCCGTGTCGAAAGGGCTCGTTGTTGTTCCTCCTTGGCACCCGTTTGAGACCACCTTTATGGCTAGCTCTGAAAGCTCTTCCCTAGCCGCCTCTAGTCCAGCAAAGGCAACAGCTTGCTCCTCTATGGCTTTACAAGCTTTCTCAAGAATCGATTGCAAGTACTTCCCTTGTGCCTCGATCCTTAGCTGGAGCCGCCTTTGCACCTGCGCATACTAATGTATCCGTAATCATATGTGGAAGTAACCAACCATGACTCAATGTTGAACTGTTCTATCAATCAAACTTTATGATGAGTGAAATTGGAATACGAATACTAACCTCTAACTGCTCGTGTAGTCTTCTTTGGACTTCCATTTGCGCACGCAAAGCTTCGGTGACCTGATAACTCCTGGCTCAAGAATACAACAAGAAAACCATCAATCATCACAATGGACATTCACAGCCACTAGTTGGATAAACTGGGGACGAAGAGAGAAAACCACACGTTAACGTACTCGTTCTGTTCTTGGGCAGCTAATCTTAATGATGATGTTGAAGATGAACCTGTGTCCTGACTCTCCGCAACACAGGAAACTGCATACAGATAAGATTCACAGAGATATCAACACACAATCTGAATCCATGAAAACCAGATTCTTAACTAAATCCGAGGATTAAAATGAATACCATCCTTCGAGTTTTCAGTTAATTCTTTGCAGGATTGCCTCCCCAGGCGAAATTTCTAAGAAAAAAACACATTTTAAGTAATCAAAGCACTAAACTTTGTTTGTCATAAGTACCATAGTAGAATATTTTTTTGTGACAACAAACCTGAAGATGAGATTTTAGGTGGTAGAGAGTGAGACCTTTCACTCCCATTGTTCTCATTATCGTTTTGGGTGTTGCTTCTGTGAAATCAAAACAAACAGAGAAAGTCAGAACACAATAGTCTGAATGAATCAGATCCCAATTTCATCTTGCAAATCGAATCTCAAGGCCAAGAACAGTAGCGTCCAGAAACAAAACAAAAAGACACATAACATCAAAGTATAATGAAAATCATCAAGGATTCAACAAGGTTAGTGCAACAAAATTGATCCAGTAAATTCCTAGATTCTTCAGCTAATTCTCCTATTTTCGAGGGTCTTACTTGAGAAATATCCACAATCTAATTCGAAGACTTAAGGGAGAAAAAACAGTAAAAGCCACATTTTATCTTAAGATCCAGGAATTTTCAACTATACTCACTTTCGGGTCCACCAAGCTGGGTGACGGCGTCGACGAATCGCTCGTGGAGCTCCGATGTCCAGCGAAGCCGGGGCTTGGGGTCAGTGGTTAGGACTAAACAGGCGTCGACGGGAAGATTAGTTCCGTCGGAATATTCCCCCATGGTGCCATCAAGTGGAAGCGACGACCGAATCGCCGAGTACATTCTCTTTCACCTTTTTAACCACTGATTTTTATTTTCTCGGCTACTTTCCCGGGAAAGTGAAGGAAAATGTTTGCAGATTTCTGTGGCAGTCAAAACGGAGTATTTGGTTCCGAAGCGGGTCGGGTCGGGTCAACGATGGGACAAAGCTTTTGGACGTACGTTCCGATAGTCTCTTTTTACTATTTTCTTTCAAATCTTAATAATATTAGGTATATAACTAAGACTACGCGCGAATCTGTATTAATATTTTGATTTATTTTTTAGCTACTATTTTTAAAATTATTAAAAATTATATATATTTATAGAAATTTTTATTTATATAAAAGAATTTAATATATAATGTGTAGTTTATCCTATTTTTATTTATAAGTTTTAAAAAACTATTAGGTAAAATAATAACAATGATACCTCTTGAATTATCCAACTTTGACGTATATACATTTGATTTAGAGAAATATAATATTGCTAAGATTTTAATATTATTTTCTGTTTTCCATAGAATTTATATAGTTCTTTTTTCGTGAAGGTTTATGTGTTCAAATATTTAGTTTTTTTATTGAAAGTCTTATTGATGTTGTGTACCATTGTATATATAATCCATGATTGATGTTGATTCGTATTTAATTTTGTTAAGAAACTGTAATGATCATGCAAAACCATTTTTTTCTTCTCCATCATGTCTTCCAAGAGTTTTATGTTATATTTTTATTCAGTTTTCATTGTTTTAATTATTAAAACAAGTTGTTGTAGATTTTTCAAAAATTGATAATTGATAATGGTTATTTTTTTTATACATGTACTGTTAATTGTTAATTTTTTTTTTTAACTTTTAAAATTTTGAACCATATTAACATTTTCTGATTTAATAAATATGTTGATTTGGATCAATTAGATTGAATTTACTTTTTTTGTTGGACATAATTTGTTAAATTAACTTTTCATGTTTTAATTATATTTAATAATTTTTGGTTTGATTTAAAAGCTGATGTGGATCAATTAAATCAAGTTTTTTCGTCCTAATCATACTTAACATTTTTTTATTTGATGAATATGCTGATATGGACCAATCAGATCGAGTTTTTAATCTCATGTGGACGCCTTCAATGCACTATGCCATCAACTTTTATATATTATACTAGGTATATAACTCGCGCTACGCGTAAGTCTGTATTAATATTTTGGTTTAATTTTTTTTTTAGCTACTATCTTTAAAATTATTAAAAATATTTATAGAAATTTTCATTGATGTAAGATAATTTAATATATAATGTGTTATTTATCATATTTTTATTTATAAATTTTAAAAAACTATTAGGTAAAATAATAACAATGACACCTATCGAATTATCTAACTATGACGTATATATACTTCTGATTTAGAGAAATATTTTTTTGCTAAGATTTTGGTATTATTTTCTGTTTTCCATAAAATTTCTATAGTTCTTTTTTAAAAGGTTTATGTGTTCAAATATTTAGTTTTTATCGAAGTCTTATTGATGTTGTGTATCACTGGATATATAATCCATGATTCATATTGATTCGCATTTAATTTTGTTAGGAAACTGTAATGATCATGCAAAACCATTTTTTCCTTCTCCACCATGTCTTCCAAGAGTTTTATGTTAGATTTTTATTTAGTTTTTATTGTTTTAATTATTAAATCAAGTTTTTGTAGATTTTTTTTTATATTTTTTTGCTAAGATTTTGGTATTATTTTCTGTTTTCCATGAAATTTCTATAGTTTTTTTTTAAAAGGTTTATGTGTTCAAATATTTAGTTTTTATTGAAGTCTTATTGATATTGTGTACCACTGCATATATAATCCATGATTCATGTTGATTCGTATTTAATTTTGTTAGAAAACTATAATGATCATGCAAAACCATTTTTTCTTCTCCACCATGTCTTCCAAGAGTTTTATGTTATATTTTTATTCAGTTTTTATTGTTTTAATTATTAAATCAAGTTTTTGTAGATTTTTTTTAAATTAATAATTGATAATGGTTACTTTTACATGTATTGTTAATTATTAATTTTTTTATTTAACTTTTAAAATTTTAAACCATATGTTAGAGGGTTAATGAGCACAATTCCTAAAAGGCTTTCTCTAGCAACAACCTAAGCCCATCAAGATAAGGAAAATCACTCGAACTTGTGGATTAAGGAAGAATCTTTAAAGATAATAGAAAACTTCCGAAGAATAAGGAAAAAAAAAACTTTTCCTAAACGGAAAAGAAGAAATATTCCTAAAGGAAAAAAGGAAACGAGGTCGATTCGACCTCGTTTCCTTATAAATAGAGAACTTCTCATAAGTTAAAGATGATGAGAAAGAGGATAAAAACTCCCATCAAAAGGAACCACGCAAAAATCTGCAATCTAGAGAGAAAACCTAATTCTCTCTAGATTCCTTCTGTCTAAGCAGTTTGCAAACGAACTATGAATGGCTTGATCTCTTTGCAAGGGTACGTAGGCAGCCTTTCTTAAAGGTCCAGCTATAACTTGATAAAAACTTCAAGTAGTTTATTTTTTCGATGACCTAATCTCCAAACTCTAATTTGATATTCTTTAAAACCCAAACCGTAAATCACTTAAACCTAGTGGTGATTTTCTGGTTCAACAGTTGGCGCCGTCTGTGAGGACTGGAGAATATCAACTCTGAAGCCCTAGCCACCCCGGTAACTTGGTCGTCACATCTCAAACGATGTCTTCAACTTCATGCATCACGCCAAAAAATAAAGATAAATGCTACATACTTTGGTATTTAATTATTATGCATGATTATAACATAATCACATTAAATAATATGATTATGTTTAACCTTAGGCTGCTACGCCTCACGAATCCATACTTGGTTATTCGTTTTCAAACTCTAATATTGCTTTATTATTAGTAATTTCAAATAGAGTGGGTATTGAATTAATTCATCCCTTTGTCTCTATCGTGATTGAATAGGTGCTGACTTGCCGATGTTCATCGATGCAACGATGCCCCCATCCGTGCTTTGATCTCAAATCAAAAATAAAGAACAAAATTCTTATCAAAGAAGAGGGGAGGCAATCCTGAAGAGATCACTTTGGCTACTTACCAACGACAAAAAAAACCAGCAAAACAAAAAAGAAGAAACCCTTATATCAACGGCATACCGTGCTACACATTTAAAAGCTAAAAGGAATGGTAAGTCAGCTCGGCTCGTCCTATTTAGAAAATCCGACGTGCTCTACAACCTAGCTATCCGATAAAATCTTTAAAGACGTCGTATGACAAGCTCGTCATACGCTCCTCTAAATCAAGCATGCTTTACACCATACAAGCAACGACTACAACGAGCTTTAAAGCCTTGGTTCCAGCTCGGAATTTCAAAAGTTGATCCATCGCATTCTAATAACGGTGACGAGCTCACCACACAAGCTCGCAACCCTCCAATAAGCCGAGCTCCGAATCTCGCACAGTCTAAGATGAGCATTGTAAGCCTCCATGATGCGGGCATTGTAAGCCTTCACCATTTAAAACCAAGATCCGAATCTCGCACCTAGAAAAGCAAAACAATGAAAAACTTGCGATGGAAGAAAGCTCCTTTGTGTAACGATTCGGGCCCGGCCCATTTGAATAAGTTTAAATGGATTGATTTGGCTACCTATGTCATCAAAGTGCACTTATCTTTTCGGTCACAGGTCCCGAGAGAATTCAACAGTTAAAGGTGCTTATGCTGGAGTAGGATTAGGATGGGTGACCTTTCGGGAAGTGATTCCCGAAACCGTGTGAGTGAGGCCAAAACACGGGAAAAGATCATATGGTGATTGCAGGGTCAGTAAACAAGTCGGTTGGGATCCGGAAAAAATAACGCACTGGCTGTCGGACAGGAGCGGGGCCCACGAGCCCGACGGATGGATGGGTGACTCGCCGGAATGGGCGGTCGAGGGGTGTTACAAGTGGTATCAGAGCCTGGGAAGTCAAACTGGTTATGTCCCAGGAGACTGTCCTAGGGTTTGTGGGTTATGGCTCACAGTGTCGGGATCAGAATTCGGGGACGAATTCCCGTTTAGTGGGGAAGAATTGTAACGACCCGTGCCCGGCCCATTTGAATAAGTTTAAATGGATTGATTTGGCTACCTATGTCACTAAAGTGTACTTATCTTTTCGGTCACAGGTCCCGAGAGAACTCTACAGTTAAGGGTGCTTATGCTGGAGTAGGACTAGGATGGGTGACCTTTCGGGAAGTGATTCCCGAAACCGTGTGAGTGAGGCCAAAACACGGGGAAAGATCATGTGGTGATTTTGCAAGGTCAGTAAATAAGTCGGTTGGGGTCCGGGAAAAATAACGCACCGGCCGTCGGACAGGGGCGGGGCCCACGAGCCCTACGGAGGGATGGGTGACTCGCCGGAATGGGCGGTCGGGGGGTGTTACAAGTGGTATCAGAGCCTGGAAAATCAAACTGGTTCTGTCCCAGGAGACTGTCCTAGGATTTGTGGGTTATGGCTCACACTGTCGGGATCAGAATTCGGGGACGAGTTCCCGTTTAGTGGGGAAGAATTATAACGATCCAGGCCCGGCCCATTTGAATAAGTTTAAATGGATTGATTTGGCTATCTATGTCATCAAAGTGCACTTATCTTTTCGGTCACAGGTCCCGAGAGAACTCCACAGTTAAGGGTGCTTATGCTGGAGTAGGACTAGGATGGGTGATCTTTCGGGAAGTGATTCCCGAAACCGTGTGAATGAGGCTAAAACACGGGGAAATATCATGTGGTGATTACAGAGTCAGTAAATAAGTTGAATTGGGATCCGGAAAAAATAACGCACTGGCCGTCGGACAAAGGCGGGGCCCACGAGCCCGACGTAGGGATGGGTGACTCGCCGGAATGGACGGTCGGGGGTGTTACACTTTGAGTCGGAGTTAAAGACCTCTCTCGATTGAATATAGACCTCGCTGAAGTTCTGAATATCACATAACACTAAGATAGAAAAGTCTCCCCTGTTTTTCAAGACGTGCCAGAGCTAC